CCGCCGCCGCCACGCAGCTCCTCCTTGCGCTCTCGCTCCCGCCGGGCCCGCTCCCGGCTCCTGCTGCTGCGCCGCTTGCGCTCGCGGTCCTTGTCCTTGCTCCTCTCTCTCGAGCGCCTTCGCTCTTCCTTGTCTCGACTCCGGGAGCGCCGCCGCCGGTCCCGGGAGCGGGAGCGTCGCCGTTCTCGCTCCTTGTCTCGCTCGCGGCTTCGCTCCCGGCGCTCCCGCTCGCGGTCCCGGTCCCGGTCCCTGTGGGGAAGCGGGGAGGGGCCCGGCCTGGATGAGGTGGGCAGAGGTGTGTGGCGGGGGCCCCCCACGAGGCCGCCCCGTCCCGGGACACCGGGTGCCTAATCTTACCTCTCATCGTAGCGGGACGTGTCGTCCCGGCCGGAATGCCGGATGTTCACATCAGCCCCACCTCTCCTGGTTCCACCGAGGCCACCTCCTGGGGGAAGACACCACCACAGGGCGAATGTGGGGAGGCGACGAAAGGACGGCGACGCGCTTCGGAGAGCAAAGGCACCTCTGCTGGCGCCGGGGGCCAAGAGCACCAGGAGCACCAGAGCACCAGCATGCCACAGCGCGACCACGCTTCACAGAGGTGGTGACCCGCGCGGGGCGCGCTGCACAGGTCTCCGAAGCTGGCACTCTCACCACGAAGGGACCCCAGAGCCTCCCCCAAACCCGCCCTTTAGCTCAGGCCCAGGCGCTCTGCAGCCTCATCCACCCCTTCCCTGGGAGCTCGTCTTGGCTGCTGCCCACCACACACTGGCACAGGCACGGTCCCCAGAGCGCTCGTTCTGACCCACAGTGAGGCTCCCCTGCCACGTACATTATGAACATTCCTTCCCGAGCTCCCAACATAATTTCCTACGCGAGGGTGCCAGTAACCGCCTCTCCCTCCAGCAGGCCACGCGGCACCAGGACATACATGTGGAGGGCTGGACACGGGCTGACCGACAAGCCTGAGGAGCAGCCGGCACGCTCATTCTTCAGAGCGGGAACACGCACGAAGTCACTGGCCCAGGGACTCGGCGAGGGAGGGGTGGGGTTGGCCACCCCAGAACCTGACCCTGCCGAAGCCGGTGGCCTGGTCTATGCAGGGGGAAAGCCTCAGTGAGGCAGGCGGGGCTGCTAGCCGCAAGGTGGGAAATACTAGATATCGGAGATCCCACACGGCCAGGCCACCCACCAGGCACTGGAGGCCCCGTGTCCAGGGCAAGGTGCCCCTCACAACCCTGGGGTGCCGTCACTCAGCTGTCGAAGGTACCCAGCGCACTACAGCGCAACACAACCTAAGGCAGCACACACTGCCCGCAGAAATACAATCCCGCTGCTATGAAAACTGGGGAGCAGCAGGTGCCCTTCGCGGTGGACCAGCGCCAAGGCCAGCGGCAGGCCTGGACACGCCTTCCCTCTGCAGACAGCTACGGAACTCAACTGAGGGACCTCATGCAGCAGGAGACTCAACAGTGACACAGCGGGACGGCTGTGACAGTGACACTGCAGGGAGCACGCCGGAAAGCTCGGCCTAAGCCGCAGGCCCAGGGACACTGCAGAGTGCGGTTCTGCGTGAACACTTGGCGTAAAGACCTAGCTGGTCTCACCAGGAAGCCTGAATGCCAAGCGAAGTAGAAGAGTCCAAGATTCTACCACAGCAGGAACAGACAACTCTGAAGAAACCACTTAACCCCAGGGAACCGGAGAGCAACGGCAAGAGCTATTATGCCCAGAGACTCAGCAGGAGACAGTGGGCCCCCACAGACAAGAGTGAGCCCGGCGGCAGGGGACAGGAGGAAGAGCAGAGGGGACTGGCCCTGCCTGCGCTGTCCGCCCAGGGAAGACCCTCTTGCTGAGAGCCGCGCTCACCCTGGCAGGAGCCAGGCCTCCACAGGCATGTCTGGACAGCAGGGCGGGTCCAGGCCTGACACCGAGCCAGTCAGACCCACCCAGCCCAGAAGAGCACAGCAGGAGTGGGGCAGAGAAGGGTGCTCTGGACTGGCACCCCAGGCCCGGGCAGGGAGCAGGCGACAAAGCAGGAGTCAGCCGCAGAGCTGCCCTTGGCATGATGAACACCCAGCAGCAGCCACTCAAGGCCTGTCAGCGTCACATGGCTCAGTCCCCCAAACACAAGGCCTTTGTACTTGAAGCAGCTGAACGCAGTCAATACCTGCAACCAAACTGACCCTTCCTGAGGCGGCGACCAGAAACCAAGGCTGAGGGCAGAGGCTGCCTACATCCAGCTTGTGGCCATGCCAGGTGATCATGCAGGCTGCTCGCTGAGTCAGTGACCAAGTGGCCAAACAGCAAGAACAAAGCCCCTTGCCTGGTGGGCACCGAACAAGCTGAGCCCAGGATGAAGGATGAAGGAAAAGCAGGCCACCAGTCCCTAAGTATTATGCCAGTGGCCTCGGTCCAGACTGACCTCCCCGGCCAGCGCTCCTGCTCGTCACCGGCCACCCTAAACAGGCAGATGCCAGGAAGCCAGGCCATGGGGCCGATGGTCCTGGCGCCGCGGGTGTGCAGGAGAGAAGGGAGCACGCTGTGGCCGGCTGAGCGAGGCAGCCGCAGCAGAGGCAGAAGCAGAGGGCCTCCCCAGCAGAGGGCCGTCCAGCGTGCGCAGAGCGGGCTTACCTAGCCGCCGGGGCCTCCAGCCCTTCACGGTCCGGCCCCTCTCCACGTCCACAAGGACTCTTCTGCCGTCAATCTTCTTGCCGTCTGCGTGCTTGTAAGCGGCTGCAACAGACGTGGGGGGGGAGGGGAAGAGTCCCCAGAGGGTCCACTAGTCAGGACTGGGCTCTGCTGGGCGGCATCCCCACCCCCGCTCGTCCCCCGTCAACACTCGCACACGCACACACGCCCACCAGACAGCCAGCAACGGACAGCCAGACCAACCCTCTCCCGGACCAGGGAGGGGCCTGCTCCATCTCAGCGCCTGCGTCCATCACCCCCATCACTACAGGGGGGCCAGCTGCCCACCCCAACACCAGCCCTCCGAGCCCTCCCTCCGGCCCCTCCATCACGCTGGATGGAGCAGCCCCCTCCTGCCAAGGCCGCCAAAGTTGCTGCAAAGAAACTGGAGGTTAACTTCAGGCTGGACTCTGCTGCGGGGAGGGCCCTCCGCAAGCCAGGCATGCGCCCTGACACATGCTGAGGGAGGGGCCCAGGTGGGCCGCTCTGCACCCCAGTCCACACCGGTTTTCATTTAGTTTGGTTTTTTTGATTGGGGGAGAGGAGGTGGGACAGACATCAGAACAGAAAGTGAACCAGAAGGGGGTGGGAGAAATCTTTAGGAGATGCGGGGAGCAGAAGGGTGGGTCACGTGCTCCCAGGGGCCCTGCAGGGGCCCCTCTGGCAGACGGGAGGGGCAGGGGCGAGGCGAGGGAGACGTGCGGTGCTACTGCCAATCCCTGCCTTACCTGAGCGACTGACCGCCACCCCACTTCCCCTTACATCTCCCCTCCGAGCCCCAGCTCCGGGCAATGCCAGGCGGATGCGCCCAGCTGGAGCCCTGGGAAGGGCGAGGAGCGGAAGGGGCGCTGTGGGGAGAGGCCCGTTCCTCGGGGCAGGGCCCAGCGAAGGGCACGCCCGGTCCCCCGCCTGTCTAATGTGGGGCCGCCGGGAAGGCCAAAAGGTCCGTTTCACCACCCCCAACCCTGGTCTAGGGGCTGTCCTTAACCAACCACAATACCCTGCCCCACCCCAGCCCGCTCCCCCCCAAATAACAACCAGAGGAAGAGAAAAAGGTGCCATTTACCGATGCCGGCCTTGCGGGTGTCCAAACCGAGCGGGATGGGGGGGGCTCGGCAACTCCTGGGGGCCTGGCGAGGAGGCGGGCTTCCCGGGGGGGGGACACGGGACCGCTTACCTGGAGCCCCCAAGCTTACCTGAGCACGCGCACAGACCCCACACCCACCACCATGGGGTCAGCTAAAGCTACAGGGAGGGGAACGGGGGTTCTAGGGAGCCACGGAGAGGGAAGGAACCACATCTCCTGCACCACCTGGAGACAGGCAGAGGAAGTGGTGGACCCCAAGAAACCTCATGGAGGCCTTGAAAGAGGGGAGACAAGGTTAGCATCAAGTCTGGGAGTGAAAAGCTCTGGGACAGTCCTGACTGAATTAGGAAGGAGGCGGGGAGGCCTCGGGAAACCTGTCGCCCGCACCGCTCCCACTGCGGTCCAGACACGCTAGGCACGAGCCCACCCCGGCACATGGAGTGGACGCTGCACCCCAGTCCACACGCCCGCCCCCATCTGCCTCAGCCCGAAGGCACACAGGGGAAGCCTGGGGTCCAGGAGATGGAGTGCAGCCTGCGCTCTGGCCAGGAGGGGCCAGGTGGCCCCTGAACCCAGAGGCGGCGGTGGGGGAAGGAGTTCAGGACTGGGGACACAATCAAGCAAAGGAAGCCTGCTCTGGTTCAGTGTCCCAAACCCAGAGAACGCCCAACCAGGGAGGTAACAGCAAAGAAAACATGTGAGGTGTGTGCTTCTAGGCTTCTCTCTGCCTCTCCTGCATCTCTAGACAGTGGAAGGGTCTTAACACCTACCGTACCTTCAGCTGTCCGCAGCCTGCCTCTGACCCCGCCCGCACCCCAACCCCCAACTCCATGCACTCTGGAGCGCGACAGGGCGCCGCAGCCCTCCGCGGGCCTCAACCGGGACAGGACAGCGCACCTCCAGTCTAGCACAGTCAAGTCTCCGGGGTCACCAGAGTGGCAGCCCCAGAAGGCGCAGGGCCGGGGGCAGAGGGCTGGAGGGCTCCGCGCGGAGCCCTGGCCCGAGGGCGCCCGTCCACAGGATTCCTGCCCCGCGCCCCTGACGTCGTGAAGCGGGCGAGTGGGGTGGTGGAGCCCAACCAGGGAGGCCAGCTGCCTTTCCTTCAGGGTGCATCCGTCCCCTCCTGGGTTCGGCAAGATTATCGGAGAGCGGATGGATCAGGGCATAGGACGGATAAAGGGCACCCAAACAAGGAAAGGGCTCCATGTGCGGGGGGCTGAGGGGACGACTGGGGCAGGAGGAGGGACGCCTCACTATCCTGAGCTGCCTGGCTAAGCTGGGCTGGTGTGCGGTGCTGCGTGATCTTACCCATGATACAAACCCTTATACCAACCATACACTGAGGTGTTGTAAGGGGAGCGTAAGCATCAGCTGCAAGCCAGCTGCGTGGTGGCTGCAGTGACAATAAGAACAGTCAATTAATACGGCGGCCCCTGGACACGCCGCAGCCCTGCCCACCCCCACCCACCCAGCCCTGCCCATGTGGACGCCGCCGCAGCCTCAAAGGGGGCTTGGGAGATGTGGGGGCAGGCGCTGGACACGCCTACCAGCCCACTGCCCGCTGGGAAACAGGGTGGGGGGCTAGGGTGGGGAGGCGGAGGGTCGGGTGGCCCAGCCCCAACTCGCTGGGGGGAAGAGAGGCAGGTCCAAAGACCAGGCCTCGTTCCAACCTGGCCGCCCCCAAACTCCAGTGGGGGAATTTGGGGAGAAGCTTCCCCAAATCCGACCCCTCCCCCCACCTCCGGCTAGCCCCAGCCCCCACCCAGTTCCCTTCTTGCCCCTGAGGTTCAACGTGTGACACTTACCTCCCCGGGTTCACACACACACACACACGTTGTGGGGGATTTTGGTTTTTGTTTTTTAAAAAACACGTATATATAAAAAAAAAAAAGATATATCAGAAACAGAGGGAGGAGGAGAAGAGACATCGCTAATGTCAGGGTTGGCGGGTGGGGCAGACGACGGGAAGGGACAGGGCAGCAGAGAAGAGAGGGCCAGGGACGGCGCGCGGGGGAAGGACTCACAGTGCATGTCTCGCTCGTGTTCGTACTCGATGAAGGCGTAGCCTCGGGGCTTCCCCGACCGCTTACTGTAGACCATGTGGATCTGGGGGGGCAGCGCACGGTAAGTGCCGGTACAGAAGTCCCCCCCATCAGCCGCCGCCCACGAACCAGGCGCGGGGTGGCCGATGCCGGGGACCGGTGCCGCAATCCTGGCTGCCTTCTGCAGCGGGAGAAACATAAGCCCCTCCACGCCAGGGCAGAACGCTGCCAGAGGCCTCAGAGTCAAGGGGGCTTTCCTGGAGGAAGGGACGCTCCGGCCAGAGCTGGAGACCAGACCAGGCGGAACGAGACAGCACAGAGCAGCAGGCGGCCAGGCTGCAGTTCAGGGGGGGCCTACTTCAGTGAGGCTGCTCGGGAGATGAGGCCAGGGAGGGCAAGAGCCAGGCCGTGGAGCCGGCAGGAGGCCAGGAGCGCAGCCCGTAAGGCGCTGAGGGCTCCGCACGAGGAAGGGCCAACGCGGGGGTCACCGCAGTCAGTCAGGACCAGGGGGACTCGGAGTGCGAGGGGCGGGGTGCGCCGCGGTCGCAGAGAACGGGGCCGGTTCAAAATCCAGCAAGCGCAACCAGGGCTGCAGGCCGAGAACACAGAGCACCCAGGCCAGAGGCAACCACGGGGGAGGGGTGGCGTGCAGGCAGAGACGGGCGCCCAGGGAGCAGACACCTGGCAGGGGCCCCGGGAGGCCAGGCCGCAGCCAGCGCCACTGTCCTGGGGGCGGGGCGCGGGCAGGCTCTGCGCGGGGAGTGGTGGAGCAGAGGCTGGGCCAGAGAAAGGTTGGGGGGAAGAGGGGAGCGTACGAGCTGCCCAAAGGAGCCAGTTTCCCACGCACCCCACAGCCACTCCAGAGTGGCCACCCCAAGTCAGGGGGTGGGTCCAAAAGCCAACCGAGACTCTAGACTAACGAAGTAGAATTGAAGAGCGAGAGGACAAAGGCCACCCCAGCAGCCCGAACCCGGGGAGGCCGGGAGGGCCCTGTCGGCATCGTCACGGGTCCGCCATCTACCCGCACGACAACGCAGAGTCCTGTGCTGCCACAACATGCTAGACACTTCCGCGGCAACAGCCCAGCACGGAGGCCTGCTCCAAACCCACGTCAGCTCTCCCTAGGTGGCCAGAGAGCGTTTCCAGCACCGGTCTGCTCTGAGCAAAAGCAACAAAGGACTCGTGCTGGCCTCGCTGCGGACTAACAAAGCTTTATGTATGAGGGGTCGGCCCGGGGACCCCTGCTCTAAACGGACAACACACCGACTGGCTAACTGTACTTCTGCTACTGAAACCGCCACTGAGGTGCAGCCGGTAAGCACACCCGAGCCAGAGACGCCCAAGTCCCGAAGTGACCCACCGGTGTCCTCAGGGCTGGGAGCCATGCCTCCTTTCCCCTGCCACACACTCCCAAATGAACCCCCCCGTCCCCACTACTCACTCTTTTGATGGGTCCGTACACCTCAAACTCTCTCCGGAGCTTGGATTCTGTTGTGTCATAGTTCTGGAAGGAGACACGTGTGAAGTTAAATGCGAGGAGCGAGTTGTCCCAAAGGTTCCCCAGGGCCCACACTATTACCCCACCCCAGGCTCTCAGTCCATGGTGCCAGGGGCTGGGAACTAGAAACTCACCACTCTAGCCACAAAGAGAGTCTTGAAGGCATCACCTTGAGCATTGGGATCATTGTGAGGGTCCCCTGTGTAGGAAGGAGAAAATCTTTACGGGAACGTGCCCACAGTTTTGTGGAACATGGCAGACAGAGGCCCATGAGAAAGAGGAAGTAGCTGATGACCTGGGCCCTTGTCCCTTTTAAGTGATAGGAAAAGGATGAGGTTGACGTCAAGCTAGGTAGGCTGGGAACAGGCCTCCCTGCCACTTCAGATCTACGCTTCCTACGGCACTGGCCCTCAGGTTGTGTACGGCAGCTGGACCAGGCACCTCTAGTCCCTTCAGGTCCTGAGCTCCGCTTCGGCAGGGCCACAGTGCCACCCACTGGCTCAGTCTGCAACTACAGTCAGCAGAGGGCCTCTGAGGCTGCCCTAAGGCCGGGGAGCTGCAGTGGAGAGTCCCAGCCCAGCCTTCCTCCAGGGCTGTGGCCTTGGGGAGGAGACTGCAATGGTGCTAAAGCTCAGGAGACCCATCAGAGTCTTGCTCCCACCTTGCCACTGCAAGGGCACTGAGTAACAATCTCCAGACAGGAGCCAGCACTTCCTACAAAATCAGTACCACGGGTGATTCTGATGGTCGGGCCTGGGAAGGCATTTTTCCCCAGAATGCAGCCCATGCACACGTGACAGCCTGACTCCTGCCAGGAACCGAGGAACTGCCCACTACCGTGGTGCTGGTGTTTTTGATAGCGCCATTATGCTCGGAAGAACTGACCACATTCTGAGAGAACACAAAAAAGGAGTGATGTTAATAACGGACTCAACATCGGCCGTGGTCACAACACTGCCTGGGCACGTGGAGACGGCAACTGCCGAGGCGTGGAAGAGATGTGGCGGGGCAGGTGTTGCGTCCAGGCTGACCTCCCACCAGGCATTCTCACACCTGCAGCTGCAGGCGCGTCAGGGAGACAGTTGGGGTGCTGCAGGAAGCCAGACATGATGCCGCAGCTCTTTCTGTGAAAAGTCTGGCTGGCAATGTAATCTAAGTTCAAGGTGACTTCAGGGAACTTAAACACTGAGCCCAAGTGAAAGAAAATAGCTACCTGCAAACTAAGGAAGCCTTTGGCGACAACACTCTGCGCCCCCGCCAGTGTTCTGTGCACAGCTCTCTCCAGCTACAAGGGACTCCTCTCACCCACACGCTCAATACTAAACTCTCTGCAAGTGGGGTGGGAGCTGGCAATTCAGCAGCAAACAGAACAATGCCCCCCCCTTTTGACACTCACCCGCTAATCAAAGGAGGCCAGCCCTTCTTGGGAATAAAGAACCCACCTGATTCTGTCTGACGGAGACGGGCGTTTTAATGGAAAGGCTGGGAAAGACAGTGACAGAGATCCTGGCAGAAGAGCTAAGTGTGTCAGAGCTAACGGAGAGCTACCCCAGCACCAGCAGCAGGCTAGTAGCCAAGGCCCCTGGAAGCCTACAACGGGGCCAGCAGTCAGGCCTGGGGGTGGGCAAAGTCCAGCAACGGAGAGCTGAGCTTCCGGAAGGGCGGCCGAGAGGCCCGCGGGCGCACCGCAGGATTCCCTGTAGCCTCTGCTCCCCCAGGGGCCAGGAGTGTGGCTAAAGTAGAAGCTGGGCAGCCGAGTCAACAGCACCCCCACGCCTGAAGAAAGAACAAGTCAGCTGCAGGAGGGCGGCGGCAACCGAAGCTGCTCCGCAGTTCACCAGTCAGCATGGTTACACCCACCCGCCACGGCGCGGGCAGCCCACCCTCGGAAGGCCTTGTTGAAGTGCTTCTCGAGGAACAGTAACAGGCTCAAAGACCTGGGATGACAGAGGACTGGTGGGCTTTCAGATGGCAGAGAAAGTAGCTCAGGAATCTCAACCTTGGTGAGAGCATCTTCAGCATCAACAAATGTCAAGTCTGATTTTAAAAATGATCCCTGATGGTGGGGCATCCCTGGTGGTGCAAGAGATTATTTCCGTGTATCCGCCTGTTCTCCCCACTGTCTCCTGGTAAACTTCACCCCCACAACTCTGGCCTACATCCCAGTTCTTGTGTGCATAAATAAAATAAATCTTAGGAAAAAAAGGCCTGAGGCACTTGGATCTGTGAAAAGCCAACAAGAAATACATCAAGCGCTCGCCAAGGGGCGAGGCCCAGTGGCAGCTGTGACTAGTGACGAGGCCCAGCAAGCCTCCAGTTGGGGACAGGCGCTCAGGAGTAGCAACACTCCTATGCTCCATCCACTCTGTCTTTCCTTTCCACTACGAAAAAATTCACAAACTAAAGGAAGCAGATAACAGTACCACGAAGCACTGCTAGCCACCTTCCATTTCACTCATGGCCAGACATGGCCAAAGACTGGCTTCATCTCCACCCCAACCCCCAGATTATTTTCAGCCAAATCCCAGATCATGTACCATTTCAGCCTCTCACAGACTTGCACATTCATAGCCACAACTGCTGTGGCTATGCTACTTAAGACTCCTTAAACAGTTAGTATCCTTGGCCCTCCCTGGTGGCACCAAGGGGCAGAAGCGCAGCACTGTGAAGCTGCCCGCAGCCCCTGCAGCACGCGTTCGCCCCCAGCCGGGGAGTGACCCCCAGGGCGCAGCAGACCTCTCCCCGCTGCTCCCCTCAGCAGTGGGTTTCCGTCAATCCACCTGGTCTATTTCTTACCCTGTCTTTGGTGAAGCTCTCACCCCCACATCTCTGGCCTGTACCCCAGTTCTTGTATGAATAAACCTTAACAACAAAGTTAACACCCTGAATACCCGAAGTCCAAATGCTCACGTCCCCCATTACTTCCCAAGTGGATTTCAGTTTTAATGACGACCCAAGTGAGCCTCACCACTTGGTTCACTTGTCTTGTGGGCCCTCCCTGACCCGCATTTGTGGGCATTTACTCATTCAAGAAACTGGAACATAAACTTGTTCTATGGAGCTCCCCATTCTCAATTTGGCCAACAGCAGCCCCATGAAATCATTTAACAAGACAAAATCCTGTTTCTAGAGTGTGCAAAAACAAGTCTCATAGGAAAACTGACCCAAGGTCATTCAGACACGGGCCAGGCGTGGGAGTGAACTCATCAGGTCGGACAAGGCCTGTGTGTCCAAGCAAGCTTCCGTGACTGCCGCCATCTGTGTGGGCCCAGTCCTCTGGGAGCCACGACAGCGAGCGAGCCGCTGCCATCCCGCCCCCGTGGAGCAAGCACACCCACCGGGGAGAGGGGGGTGTCCGTCGGTGGCCGCTGCAGACCAGAGACAACGTGCAGCACTCAGGGCTCTGTGTATAAGGGGCTCGACCTGCGCACACCTGGGGGCTGTCACACATAAGCCCCGGGAAGGAGACAGACGCCTCGGGCAGGGGCCTACCAGCAAGGAGAGGGCACGCCCGGGTGGGCGTGGCCAGGGCAGGGCAGGGCAGAGCTCCATGCGGCGAGTCTGGAGCAGTGGGCAGGCAGGGACTCTGCTCTTCGGGCTAAGAGCAAAGGAAGCTGTCAGCAGAGAAACGCGAAAGCAGACTAAATCTAAAGGCCAGAGGACTTGGTGGGAACGCCAGAGCACACTAGCTCCACTGCAGGGTGGCAGCGGCCCAGGGCACGTCGGAAGAGTCAGATCTGTGACGTTTAGAGTTAAGGGGGGTGGTGTTAGACTGGTGTGAACCGAGGTCAGGGCCAGCAGAGCTGCATGGCCACAACCCAGTAAAGGACACATCCAAAGGAGACCAGGTTGAGGACACAGGCAAATCCTGTGGACGCTGCACCTGCAGTGCACCTGCAGGGCCGCCTCAGAGACTTCTGACAAGAGGAGAAGGGAGCTGGAGTGAGCAGCAGGGCGCAGAGCTCTCAGCTAGACCCAGGGGTTTGGAAGTCTGGCACTCACGCAAGCGTCACTCCGGGACTAAGGTTGGGAGCAGTGACTTACCACACTACGTGCCTCAGGGCGCAGAAGGAAACCCCAGCCTCCCAATAAAGCCCTCGCTCTCACCCGAACAGGCCCTCTAAGGTGCATCTGTGACCGTCCTGTGAGTCTCTCCCATCCCAAGTTCCAACTCCGCCTCTATGTGAAAAGGATGGTATATCCCCTGCCCCGGGGCCAGGGAGCTGCAGGGGTGCCCGGCCAGTCTCACTGGCCCAGATCACCCTGCCTGCGAGACCTGGTCAGGCAGGCGTCTGACCCTCTGCCTTCCCGTCAGGCCTCACACCACACACGCCCACCTACACGCTTTAACCAAAGACAGCGCATGGTAAACAGGAGGGGCTGACAAGTGAACACCCCCACTTTCCCAAAATAGAGCTCTGGGGTTGATCTGGGGGAAAGGACATGGAGGACTTGCAGAAGGGAGTGGGAGAGAGACTTACACATTTTAAGCTCTGTCTCCACTTCCTGTTGTCGCCGCTCAATCTTTTCCCGTCTCTGCGGTAAGAAAGGGGAAATGGACAACTGAACGCAGTCAGAAGAGCCCTGATGTCAGGGACCACCCTAGATAACGACTCAAAAAAGACCTGGGGACAAAAGGCAAGAGTCACACACCTTCCTCTCCATGCGTTCCTCCCGGGTTTCTGCTCGAGTTGGGGGAGGAGCATCTCGAGGGTCCTGGGGACAAGAAGAGAGGTGATAGGGTAAGAAAAAACTGAGGGAACAACATGGAACACCCATCAAGTTAATAACCATCTCAGTCACCTCCCAAGTGCAAACATGGACAGTGCCCAGGCCAGTGGAAGCAGGGGCGTGGCACAGTGTGGTCCACAGACGAACACCACTCACCGACAGTGGTCCGTGACAGAGAAGCACAGAAACCACATGTATCGAGAAATTTCTAGAGCAATCTGACAGTAGTTTTATGCCCATCCAATATAATAAAATTTAATCTTGTGAATCTTTTAAAATACACAAAAGTAATTGTTCTACTACATTTGCTAGAAGCATCAACCAGCAACGGATCATAAATAAAACTATTTCTCCACCACAGACAAGCACCAGCCAAAAGCAAAAAGAGCAAGTATTACAGGGCTCAGAAGCAAATGACTGGACACCCTGTGAGGACCTGGGCAGGTCTTGACGGTCTCACCAACTACTCATTAAACAGCTGATTTACAGCCCCCGCCTTCAAAGGGTGCCAGTGGCCTGCAGTCATTAGTTTAATTGGCTAATAACATTTCCCAAGTACCGCTTCGCCGAGGTGGCAAATCCTACTGGAGTCCATCCCCTTTATCTCTACTACCTACTGCACTGCGACTTCTCTCTAGCTGCCCTCTCCTCGTCTAGCTTCTGGCTCGCAAGGTGTTAGCACTTCTGTACCTAGTGCGTGTTGTTACCCCCGCTTTACAAATGACACAAAGCAGAGGCACTGAAACCTGTCATGTACTCGCTGACCCTGCAGGTGCAGGCCTGAAACCCTCCAGGCCTACTCTGTTTCCCGGCACTCAGTGCTCACCCATTCCCAACACCACCATCTCAGACCGCCACACATGTTGACATCTGCTGGCTACTTGGTGCCAAGCGCCCTAACAAAATCTGCAAGTAATTCCCCATGGCCATCACAAGAAAAACGCGATTATCCCTTGCTAAGGGTGAGGCAATCAACACGCTAAGATACCCCACCTTGCCCGCGGTCTCAGAGCTGAGGCAGCGTGTGTCAGGGCTACTTCTACAAGCTGAAGCAGCAATGGTTACTGTAATTCCAAAACCCCAGACGGGTCTTGACCCCATTTACCACAGGGAGATGCGTTACCATGCTCAACCCCGAGCTGAGAACCCAGCCGCTCCACCTTGAGAACCCAAACCCCCAGGCCTGACCAATGAACTCACCTCAAACTCCCGGATGTAGGGCGCAATGCCACAGTAAGGTTGATTGTGGTGCTTCTCGTGTGGCAGTTTCTCCAGGGGTGGCAGGTATGGGATGGGGTCACGGGGAGCAAAGAGGGCCAGAAGGTTGGGTGGCAGAAACTGGGTCATCTTGCCAAGTCTGTGAGCAGAAGCAAGGAAAGCCTTATGTTGGGGGGGTCTGTAGAAATGACGTCCTTATAATCCCTTGACTCCCCAGAAAAGAGGGAAATGGGGGCGGCGGGCAGCAAGTCCTCAGCACCAAAATCAGTTCTTTGAGGGAACCGGGCAACCCATGTGATCACGGCGGGGCAGGAGGAAACCTGAATGCGAAAGCAAGTTCTGGGGCGAGGGCTGTCTGGGCGCCGGAAACAAAGCCTGAAGAAAGATTTCTGGCACTGCCGTCTGAGTCCGGGGCAAGGAGCCCAGGGTCCGCGCGGGAAGGGGAGGCGGGTCCCGAAGAGAAGACGCAGAGCAGCAGCGGCTGGTGGCTCTCTACCTCAGCGAACAGGTTACAGGGTGAGGGCCGCAGGAAGCCTCCGATCAATGGGAAACAGGCCCTATGCAGCAACCCCTCAAGCCAGGGGCTTGTGGGTAATAGATCCCGGTCCCCAACGGCGAAAGGAATTGTGGGTAAGGGTCCGGGCCGCCGCGGATGCGAGGAAAAAGGCAACACCGCAAAGGCCTGTGGGTAGGGGGACAAAGTTGGGGGGAGGGCGGCTATGAACGAAGTCCTGAGTGCCTAGAGGCCACTGGGCTAAGGGGTACCGAGAGGAGGCATAATGGGGGTCGGGAAGGGGGTCCGGCGCCAGTGAAGGGACGAAGGCCCACCGCAGGGGATTGTGGGTAGCGGCCCCGCACCCGGTGAGGCCAGTCAGTCTCCTCACCTGCCGCGCGGCGCCCTCCTCGGCCTGGAGACGGTCGGGGGCCTCGCGGAGGCCCCTCAGCAGCAAGAACTCCTGCTTTGGCTTCGACTCGGCGGCGTCCGCGTCCAGCAAACTCCACCGCCTGCCCAGCGCGCGCACCAGGCCGCCGCTCACGAGCCCGCGCGGCCTCAGTTCGCGACAGCGGCAAGGGGTGCACTCGAGCTCAAATCCCTCCGCCGGCCTGCACTGCGCACGCGCCGCGCGAGGATTGTCCAACCCACACACAAGGACCTGGCGCCGCCACAAGCAGAGCGCACGCGCGAGATCACTACCCCGCCTTCGGGCACCTTAAACTCCTGGGGCGCCGCAGGCTTGAATTCGCACTGCGCACGCGCCCTCCGCACCGAACGTTGCCCTCTACCTCGCGCTCCCGGCTCCAACCGTCTCTCTCCGCGAGGCGATTCGTGATGCTCCACCCCTTTCCTAACGCACTTCCCGGGTCTCACGCGCATGCGTATTTTGACCGTAGACTATATACCCCTCCGCCACCTGGCAAAGAGTCCCTACAGGAACAGTGTGATTACGCTGTATTCTAATGTATTCGATCACGAGTTGTTCATCGAGCTCTTCGTATCTGATGGGAACTGTTTGGCCGCTGTGGCTTTAATACGTAACTAAAGCAAACTCATTTCTTTCTTGGAGTTTCCATACTGGGAGAGACAATAAAGGCATTTCAATCAATAAATATTATTTCAAACAATAGCCAGCACTACAAAAAAAAAAAAAAAAAAAGGACTGAGTAAGGGAATGGGCAGTGAAAGCGGCTTAAATTTAGCAAAGGGTGATATTTGAAAGAATGCCAAATGAAAAAGGTAATATGGCAGGGTTAACAGCAAGGGCAAAGGCCCTGAGGTTTTAAAAATGTCAGGAATCGGCGGTTGTTGGTCAGGATATCAGAAACCTGACAGCCGTGGTGGTACGGAGTTCAGTATTGTGTTTTCAGTTTTTTTGGGTGGATTCAATTGCCCATCACATTACAGAAATTGCTGCAAAATTTAAATGACCAATTTCATGGTTTGGGTTGTTTTATAAGGAGTTATTTATACAAGAATTAGGATGTCAGCCAGAGTGGGGCGTGGGAGGTTGTGTTGTTGAGAGGATTCACCAGAGAGAGTGGGGAGCAGAACAGGCAGACCTACTGAAATCCACCGCAGAGGGGCGCAGTGGGCCCCTTCTGAACACGTTCAGTGTGCTTGTCCTCTGACAGACTCCAGTTTGGCAGTCATTGGTTCCTCTGTGTTCTTGTTGCAGTCCAAGGTGTGGGTCAATCTCCTTGCTGCCATTTTACTCTGAGGTACTTGAAGTTGGAAGTTGTGGCTCTGTTGCATTCTGAAGCCCTTCTTTCTCAGGCTTTTCTTTCTCAGCAAGCTGCTTCCTGGAACTTGTATCTTTTTCTGCAGCTTCCAATTTCTTCTACAGTTTCTTCTTTCGGGGCAAGATCCTTCTTTGGCGGGCAAGGAGGGATTTCTGGGACAGATTCTTTGGATGCAGGGCTGAGAATCAGCTCAAAAGCCTGGCCTAAGGCATGTTTCTCCAGTTCTTCAGAATAGGCTGGGGTGGAGAGAAGACCCGAGACTCTCCTATGCAGTTCACTGGTTGTGAGTTGTTGGTTTTTTGTTTTTGTTTAAGATTTATTTATTCATGCATAGAACTGGGGTATAGGCCAGAGGTGTGGGGGGTGACAGGGTTCACCAGCGTCAGAGTGGGGAGCAGCACTGACAGATTTACTTAAATCTACAGGAGAGGTCTGCTGCGCTCTGTGGGTCACTCCCTGGCCTGTGATCAAGCTCACACTGCAGTGGCTGCGGACAGCTTCATAGTGCTGCTCTCCAACCTGTTGCACCACCAGTGGGGGCCGGTGGTGTGTCCTATACATTCCACTAGCAAGGAAGCCTGCGAGTTCCCAGCCTCCTGGCCACACTCTGAGCACCAGTAGATCTGGGCACACCCATGAAAAGGTTTTAAGCTGGAGGAGGGTTTGCAGGTCAAATGCAGTTTCAAAGGTATATTAGGAAAGCCATGATGCTGGGAGGAGGTCAAGGGCATGTCAGGGAAGCCATGGGTGCTGGAAGGACGGAGCCCTCACACCCGCCGGCCTGATGCATGTGCAGCAGGAGAGTTGCTGCCGGTGGAGAAAGAAAGAGGAAAGAAATGAGGACTCATTTGATAGTGTTTTAGGAGAAAGAATGAGTTATCAAATCAATGCACTAATATATTAATAAAGGTCAATCAGGAATACATGGCAAGGTGACAGGGTCCAGTGGAAAAAAAGACTCCTAAAGAAAACCCAAAGGGTCCCTGAATCAGAGGATTCCTGAAGGACTCGATTCTAAATTAGAAAAAGAACATACGGGCCTCCCTGGTGGTGTAGGGGTTAAAGTCTCGGCTCTATCAAGCTATGGCCATTCATTGCTAGGGAGGGACCCACTGGGTGCAGCAGACGCCTGCTGTCTCCCCATGCTCCCCTCAGCCGTGTATTTCAGTGAATCCGCCTATTCTGCTCCCCACTCTGTCTCTGGGGAATCCTCTCACCCCACCTCCCTCCCCCACCCCAGCTCTTGTATGCAGAAATAAGTAAAAATAAATCTTTTTTTTAAAAAGATTTATTTATTTGTGCATACAGAACTGGGGTACAGGCCAGAGGTTCAGGGGCGGCGAGAGGCTTCACCAGAGACAGAGTGGGGAACAGAACAGGCAGACCAAGGAAGTACACTGCTGAGGGGAGCAGCGGGCGGGTCAGGAGAGGTCTGCCGCGCCCTGTGGTCACCTCCAGGGCAGGCGGGAATCAGACTCATGTGGAAGCGGCTCCAGATTCTCAGTGCTGTGCTTTAACCCATTGAGCCACCAGGGGGCGCCAAAATAAATCTTTTTTGTAAAGGATAGAAAAAGAACCTGTGTGGAAACTAGTGGCATTCAAATAAAATCTGCAATATATTTGTGAAGAGCCCTCCGTTTGGGTTAATTTCCTGTCAAGTAATTGTGCTGTGGTTATGGAAGAAATGGGCAATAGCAGGAGTGTGGTGAAGGCAGCAAGAAGTGCTGCTGTGCTTGCAACTTTTCTGCAGATCTACTCACAACAGCATGTTTAACCAACAATACCGGTTGATACCCATCTTTCCTTCATAGGAACCCCCTCCGCCAGCCTTCCCCTAGACTTGAAGGCTGAGCAGCTGGTGGAGTGGTGCCACAGATGTGGAAGGAGAGGCAGGGAGAAGATGGGCTGACTGAGGGGGTTCTAGGCTTGGGCAAGTAGGAGAAGCCTGTCTGAGGCTGTTTGGGTCTGGGGAGTTGAATGGTGGGAGATGTGTGCAAACTCTGGAGAATCCAGCGGGGAGCCATTGGAGCAAAGATGCTACTTGAGTCTTGTGATGAAATGAAGCCACGTAGAAAATGAGTGAGGACAGGGAAGGGAGAATGTCTGCAGGTGGGATCCACCCCACTGAGCGCAGGTGAAGCAGGAAGAAGCAACAAAGAAGACTCAGTAGGAATGGGCACCGAGGCAGGGCAGCCTGCAGAGAAGGGCCCCGGGAAACCAAGAAGAAATGTATTTCCGGCAGTAGAGTTCTCCAGCCTCTCCCCCTGCTTTTTTATTTTTTTTAAGATTATTTTATTTATCTATGCATACAAGAGCTGGGGTGTAAGCCAGAGATGTGGGGGGTATGTGTGTGTGAAAGGATCCACCAGAGACAGAGTGGGGAGCAGAACAGGCAGATCCACTGAAACACACTGCTGAGGGGGCAGCGGGCGGGTCAGGAGAGGTCTGTTGCACCCTGTGGGTCAGCTCCCTGGCAGGGGATGGAACTTAGCTTTAGTGGTTTGAGGAGAGCTTCATAGTGCTAAGACTTAATCCCTTGTGTCACCAGGGAGGGCCAGTACATCTAACTTTTCTATTCTAAAAAAAAAAAGAAGAAAAGAAAAAAAAAAAGCAGCAGCAAGAAATTCCAGAATGAGGTAGTGTGACAGTGTGGGTGAGAAATGCAAAAATAAGGAATGAGGTGGGGTCACCTTGGTGACCCTGATTAACCACAGGAGTTGAGGTGGAGATTCAGCTGAAGAAAGCCTTGAAAAGACGCTTTGCTGGAAAGGCAGTAGACAGAGGTGATCATAGCAGGAGAAGGAAGTGGCTTCCAGGAAGGGTGCTTTTTGGAAGTAGAAAAGATATTAAGATAGAAACTTTTATAATGTGGTAGAAAAAAAAAGACAGACATGTGATCTCCTAAAACTCTATAAGCTGACTCTTAGCTGCTTATTTAAGTAGCTTGAAAACTTAGGTTCACACAAAAATGTATACAAGGATTTGTGTGGCTTTGTCCATTATCTCCCACACCAAAACATAGCTCAAATTTCCTCTGACAGTGAGTGTGGAAACAAATAGAGATATATCTGTGCAGTGGAATACCATGGTTAAGGAGGAAAAAATTAGAGGGAAGCAGTATGGAAATCCCTCAGAAAGTTAAAAACAGAAGTTTCATATGCTCTACTAATATCCCACTTCTGGGTCTATATCCCCAAAATATCAAAACACTAATTCAAAGAGATCTAGGCACCCCCATGTTTATCGAAGCACTGTTCGCAGTAGCCAAGAATGGAAATAACAGAGTGTCCATCCACGGACGATTGGATAAAGATGGTGTGGTCTGTCTACATGATGGAATGCTACTCTGCTGTTAAAAAGGTAAGATGCTGCCATCTGCAACAATATGATTGCACGAAGAGGAATGAAACTCAGTGAAATAAGTCAAATATCATGAGATTTTATGGCTCGTGGCATACCGAGAATCCAAACAAATAAGTAAATGAGATAAAACAAACAGAAACTTTTGGGACCTCCCTGTACCCCACTTCTTGTATGCATAAATAAATAAAACTTAAAAAAACTTTTCAGATGTAGGCAATGGGAGGGAAAAGGATCATGGGCGGAGAATGGGGTGATAAAGAGTTTGGAATTGCAAGGACAGAGCTGGACGAGAAAGTTGGTGGTGTGGTTAGGACATGGCAGATCAGAGGCCAAGGGTTGCACTGGGGGATAATAAAATGTGGCAAGGCTGGCATGCTGGCACGCTGGCAGTGCCTGTGTGGTTGCCTCTGTCTACAGAAGGCCATGTTCTGTTGCAACAGGGCTGAAGAGTATTTGTGGTAAACCACCCAAAGTAGCGGCCCCTGAAACTACAAGGAGTGTTCATTTTGCTCATGTCTGGGTCAGGCTTGAGGGCTGGGGGGCTGATCTCCAGAACTTGGGGGGGTGAGCGAGTGAGAGGCAGCCTGGCTGGCCAGGAGGATGGGCCTCCCCTGGCTGCCACACAGGGGAGGCTGGCGCTGGTGCCATCTAGCCAGGGCCTGGAGCACCACGGTTCTCTCCACAGGGCCATCGGGCTGGAGGAGTGACCCAAGGCAAAGAGCGTGCACTGTCTTGGGAGACCCGTGACTGTCCCTCCCTGGGGTCGTTAGTCGCTGGCTTCACTAAAAATCCAGGGCAGTGACTGGAGACACAAGGGTGGCAAGCTTGGAGACGACGCTGTAGGACAAGCAACATGGTCCTTACTGGGAAAAAGTCCTGTACGGGCCAGGTTTTCTCAGGCTGCACTGCGGGAGTGTGAAACGACTGAGGAGGACAGGACAGTCACGTGAGACCAGGTGACCACGGGACAGTCTGAGAAATGGGGAGTCCACTCCTCGCGAGTCCACTGTGAGACGGTCATAGCCAGGGCGGGACAGCCTCCCAGGCACCCAGGCTGGGGGCAGTGCCCATGCCTGTGCAGCCTTACTGATGAGTTCCTGCAGTTCAGAGCCCCCCTCCCGAACGAGGGCTTCTGCAGTCTCCAAGAAAGAAAGAGGAGATAGAGATGAAAGGAGGCAGAAACAGAGGGCCAGAGACAGGGGTCAAAGCCCTTGAAACCGAGGGACACAGACAAGGGCCTCCCAGAAACTGTAGGCGCCAAAAGGACCAGAATTTGCAGGGTTTAACCTTCAGCGTCTCCTTCCACTCGCCCAGCAGAGGGCGCCCGGTACCCCATTCTCTGACATCCGGGGTGACCAGTCTCACCACTTCCCGCAAGTCCTTTCGATGGGGCTATTTTTACGCAGTGTCATCGGACACCGGTGGCTGGAAGGCCACCGTCTGTCCTTCGGCCCCTGCGAGTGACCCTGCGGCATCCCTCGCCGTCGCCACTTCCACCCCCGACCCACCCGTTCCTGGCCGGCCAGTCTTTTGCGCAACTTGAAGCTGCAGCTCAGGTCTCCCTGGTCTCCAAAAGCCGGGCGGAGAATCCATGGAGACCCCGGGAAGAGACCCTGGCATGGGGCTCACGTGTCCATTTTTGCAACGGCTGGAGTGTCCCCAGGGCGGGGGAACCATCAGGACAGTGGTGGAGCTGACCACAGTCAGTGAGAGATTCAGAGATGAGCCCCGAGACCAGTCATCCAGAGACCCAGATGGAGATTCGCAGTAATTCAGTGACTATAAAGAAACAGACCCAAAGGGTTGCGCGCAGAGATACGCTGGGTCAGAGGCACTGGGCGCTAAGAGATAATGACCGAGGAGGCAGAGACCAAGGGAGGCAGGACAGAAACAGGTACATAACTCCGAGGAACAAAAT